ACCAAAACCAAAAAAACTCATTGCCGTCCAGTCCATTCCAACTCACAGCAACCCTATAGGACAGAGCAAAAGGTCAGCAGTTCGAATTCACCAGCCGCTCCTTGGAAACCCTGTGGGGCAGTTCTCTGTCCTGTAGGGTGCCTATGAGTCAGAATCCACTGGATGGCAGTGGGTTTGGCTATGTTATCAGCATTTACTGAATGGCTATTCCTGGCATGTCTGAGGTTAGCCACCTGGGAGCCCTCCTTTAAGGAGCATCAATGCAGTGAGAGAGGCAGACAGGTGAAGTAAGGAAGGTAATTCTGTGCCAGCAGCAATGGAAGGAGTTGATGCAGAGGGCAGTGGAGACGCTGACCAGGGAGAGACCAGTTCTCCTGGTCTCAGAGCATGGAGTTCAAGACCACTCATCGTCACTGGCCAGGATGTCAAATAGGCAGGGCATGGCAGCTGGGTGAAGCACCACGAGCAAAGGCATGGTGGCTAGGTGTGCTGGGACTTACAAATGTGCCCCCTGTCTGGAAGCTTCGGGTTCTGCAGATACAAGAAGGGTGGTGTTTTCACAGGACTATGTTGCCTAAAAAGGAGCCTGGTGGTGCAGTGGTTAAAGCGATTGACCGCTAACCAAAAGGTTGGCGGTTCAAAACCCACCAGCGGTTCCGCGGGAGAAAGACGTGGCAATCTGCTTCCGTAGAGCTTTACAGCCCTGGAAACCCTATGGGGTCACTATGAGTTGGAATCGACTCAACAACGGTAGGATGTTGCCTGAACTCTTACCAAATCTGAAAGCAGCTAGACAACTTGCCCAAAGTTATGCAGCATTTGGTCATTTGGTCAGTGCACTCCAGCCAGCCCTCCTAGCCAACTGCTGGAAACTGCAGACCTCAGCTTTACTCCTCTCCAGAGTCTCTGCAAGGAACCTTTCCTGGGAAGGGCACCCTTTAGTCTCTGCTCCCTCTCATCTCCATCACAGGCTGTCTGTGCTCATGACCTGCTCCCAGAAGCCTGGGCTGCTCATGCTGTGGGCCTCCATACAGATCCACCCTCATCCTCGTGGGCTGTCCACCCTGGGGCCAGAGGAGCTCTCTGCTTCATGCTTCATCTCTGTGTCATCTCCACATGGCTTGTCTGTCCTGCCCTGTGTAGGCCTCTGTTTTGCTGGGACATCGCCTTCATGTACATCCCTTACAGAAGAGATTGCTTTAACTGCAAGACCCTTAAACCACTCAACCTTTGAAAAGGGGAGAACATTCGTCTTTAATGAGCACCTCACGTGTGCCTAGATCTGAGCTAGTCCTTTTCCTTCTATTATTCCATTTATACCCTGCAAGAATTTTATGAATGGTTGCTATAAGCTCCACATTAGAGATGAGAAAGCTGAGGCTCACAAAGGTTAAGCAACATGACCTTTAGTATACAGCCAAGTTGAGACTTGAACTCAGGTCTGTTTTACTCTAAGACATGTGCTTCGTCTTCTACACAATTCTTAGACTTGGGTAAGACAGACGCCTTCTGGGCCCCATACTCTGGAGAGCTACCTCCAGCCCTTATCCAGCCACGCCAAAGAGACATGCACACCTCGAGCCTGGGCTCCCTAACTTAGCTCCAGGTATCTGGGACCCTGGATTTCCTGCTCAATTGGCCCTGAGTCTGCTTCCTGAACCTGTGCAGACTTCACCTCCAGATCCACCCTTGTGATGGCTGAGGCACCACAGTGTGCTTACCCCTAGGCCTGAAGGGTGGCCAAGAAAAGGCTGGTTGCAGGCTGAGGGGTGTGGGGGCAGCATGGACATATGGGTTGGGGTGTTCAAATGCATGCACCCAGGGCCCCTCAAAGTGTGGGATGGACCCCTCCTGGCAGTCAGTCTATGGGCAGGAGCCAAGGTGCCAAACTACAAGAAGGTCAAGAATTCTAAATCTGAAATGGGCCTCCCAGGTTGTTATGAAGGTCAAGGTAGGAAGTTACAGCATGTTTTATTTAACAGCTTGTTAGCTTGCGTTATAACTTTCAGAGATTCTGACACAAGGCTTCCATTTGCACCCTTGGCCCCACAAATTTAAGGGCATGCCTCTTCCTCTAGCTCAATGATTATATAGTTGGCAGTTTTTATAGTGAATGGTGATATCACCTCCCATGTGAGCGAAGTAAGCTTAGTTTTCTCATGTCTGATAATCTAAAGGATAATCTTAAGGGGGTGTATTACCTTTTCTTGATCATGAAGCTCCTGTAAAATAACTTGTCTTTCCCTACACAGTTCTAAGAAGTCTTCCGAGTGCAGACTTTCGTGCAAGGCAGGGAAGAACGTCAGCTTGGTGCAGTCCATTGCCACTTCGTCTCTCTCAATCTCGACTTCCTTTGGTGTCAGTTCATCTGCAGCAGCATAAAGGGAGACACAGTTTTGGAATGAGCCTTTCGACAGCCTGGCGGATGGCTGCAGCAGATGCCTGAGCTACTGAGGTGCAATGCAAGGTTCCAGAGAAGATGCAAACAGAGTGAGTCTCTCGGCATACCTCTTCACTGCCTCTGAAAATGGACACCATGGCCCTGATGCACATGTCTGTACTAACCACATGGTGTGGCAACACGCCTCCAGATGATTCACTCTGGAGGGGCCTGGGGTGCCCAGACCTGGTGTGCTCTGCAGCTCTCAAGGGACCACAGGGAAAAATTTCATAATTCACCCACATGAATCAGTAATTTCCTGGAGGCGCATCTCAATATCCATTTACGCATAGGAACATATTGAACACATCAATATATTAATATATCCAAAGCTCTCAGCTATCATTCCTCAGCAGCTGGACAGTTTACGTGTTAAATATCTATACCGTCCGTTTTCTTATTTTCCTCCTATGTGCTCTGGCTTACTTAGGGAATATGTATTTTCATTGTTTGGGGACACTTTTAAGTTCTCCCCGGTATAGCAAATTGCTGTAACACAAGTTCCCTTAACGGTGTGTCTAGGTCTGGAACAGGTTCCTCTTCACTCTGGAGTGCAGAGTAACAGAAAAAATCTCAGCACTGCCTACTCTAAACCTGAAGCCTTTTCTTCTTTCCAAGTATTAAATTTAATATCTTTAATGAGATATGACATAAACCAATGATTGGTTTAGTTGTTACAAAAAAGACTAAATAAACTAAATACCTTTGTTTCCAGCATTTGTTTGAGAAATATCATTTCTGTCTTGGCTCTCCTAAAATAAGACCAAATAAAAGAGAAATTAAACCCTGGATACTATATATGTACCCGGTTCCCCATTTTACTGACTCACACACACATACATGTGACTCCTTCAAATTACACATATGCTCAATACTCAGCTGCAAGGGGAGAGAAACGCTAAATCCTAAAGGAACACAATAAAATGCAAGTATTAATGCTCCCAAGTCAAAGGGGAAAAAACCCACAATTGTCCATTAAATAGGACTTATGGTAATTACCAAAGATGATGCCAAGATGAGATTAAACAGGATCCTGGATGTCTGTCAGGCCACACTGGAAAAGGGACCCGGGAGGAGGGTCTGGGACTGAGCAGCCCGAGTGACCAGAGAGCAGGTTTTATGGGGAGCCTTTGGCTTTGTCACCTGCACAGTTGGCAGGCTACTTATTTTTTTCTGTCTGTATTCCCTAAGAAATTTATTGCAGGAAAAATACTACACATCAACATGGATAAACCCTGAACACATTATGCTAAGTGAAGTCAGTCAGTCACAAAAGAACAAATACTGTATGATCCCACTTACATGAAGTATCTGGAATAGGCAAGTGTATGAAGACAAAAGTCTACTAGCAGCTACTAGAGGCAGGAGGGAAAGCGGGAGCCATTGATGGGGGCATTGAGCTTCTGTCAAGGGTGATGGGGAAATCTGGAAATGGAAAATGGTGATGGTTGCACTGCACGATGAAAGTAATTAATGTCACTAAATGTACATGTAAAAAATGTTGAAATAGCAAATTTTTTGTTAAAACTATCAAATAATACCTTTAAAAAGTTTTCCAATAACTGAAAAAAATACTACATACCACCAGATGTTTATTGATGAAACTTTAAAAAATGAAAGTTTCTACTGCAGAAATGAAATGTAATTGTTTTTCTTAGGTTTTATAAAGGATTTTCAGTGTAGATAAAAGATTCTGAGGTTACAGACTAGAGAGTAACACCAACATTATAACTCAGATCAGATGCAGAAAGAAATCCCTAGCGTCTCTGTGTTTGGAAGGTTGCCTTTTAGAATATCCTAAATTATGACTGTTCAATGAAAGCATGAAAAACTATTAACAGATTTTTCTATATTCACTAGAAAAGAAATCCAACTGGTTTATCATCCATTAACAGACAAAAATGTGAGTTTGACAGCACAGAATTCAAGCTTCATTACTGCAGACTCCAATGGACTGCCTAGATTCTAGTGTTTGGGAACCAAATAAAGATTCAATATTGTTTGGACTAAGTGCGTCACCAGCTTCAGCTTGCAGAAATAGCTGAGTCCAAGAGATTTTCATTGTAAAATCTGTTATGAGATTAGCTTGGGCAATAATGTCCAGAGCAATGCTGGCTATGACTGCCCAATGACAAATAACTCGGTCAAGCAGACAAAAGCAATCACGCAACTCTTTCAAATACTGGCATCCAGATGATTCCATGGTCTGGGTGGATGTCAGAGTGGTACAGGGTCAGTAATGTAGATATGTACCACTCATTCATTCATTCATTCAGCATGTGGTCATAGAGTCCCTTCTGTGTACCCGGGAGGGTTAATGACTCTTTTCCTCTGTTAAGCAACATCAAAAATACATCATGGTACTCTCATACATTTATCCACATATATTACCTCTCCCACCTGCCCACACTATAGCACCCCCAAAGCACACAGCACAGAATCTTCATCAAAACAAAATGACCTGTTTTACTGTGTATACTTCCACCAAAAATACAATAAAATACTATTTTTTAAAAATGAAAACAAGCACAGTAAAAGGATCGGTAGTTGCCAGGGTGCTGGGGAGGGGAAAGATGAACAGTTGGAGCACAGGGCATGTTTAGGGCAGTGAAGCCATTCTGTATGATCCTGTAATGGTGGATACATGACAGCATGCATTTGTCAAAACCCATAGGGCTGTACAACACAAAGAGTGAGTCCTAATGTGGACTATGGGCTTTAGTTCATCATAATGTATCAATATTGATTCATCAATTGTAACAAACATGTCAGCGGAAGGCAAAATGTTAATAGGAGCAAGAAAGTGTGGGAGCGGGGGTGGGGAGGGATATGGGAAGTCTGTATTTTCTTTAACCTTAAACTGTTCTAAAAACAAAGACTACTGGGAAAAATATCATAGGAAAGGTCCTACACGTTTTCTGCCTCAAACAAAACAGCAGAGCCTCTACTCTTCCTGCTGCATCCACCTCTTACCTCGTGGGCTGCCTGACTCTGGGCCTCCAGTGGAGACAGGCGTCGGATTCTTCTCCTCATGCGAGCAGGTCCTTCTCGCCTGTCCAGCTCCCATTGCGAGCAGGGTGCGGCTCCCACCGTCTGGCCCCACAAGCCCAGCTCCCCGAAGAGCTGCTCCTTGATCCTGGCCCAGGCGCTGGCTGCCTTGATGCTGCCACATCTCTGTCTCTGTGAAGCAGACGTGCAGCCATCACCCTGGATGCATTGTTCTCACAGGCTGGCCACTTACTACCTCCCCTGCTGAAGAGTCTCCATAACTGTTTGAGAAAAATACCCCTTCACAGTGAGGCCCAGGCACTCAAAGGATGTTCAGGGACTCTCTGGAACCAGGGTCAGGCCAGAAGGAAAGCTGTGTCTCCCTTGTTGAGCAGAGAGCAACACATCCCGGAGGTCCTGAAGGCCATCATCAGAGCGAATGGACAGCTATTTTATAAAATGGGCAAAGAATTTCCCTCACTGCCCAGAGGTGGTTCAGTGGTAGAATTCTCATTCTCCATGCAGGAGACCTGGGTTTGATTCCCAGCCAATGCACCTCATGTACAGCCACCACCTGTCTCTCAGTGGAAGCCTGCATGTTGCTATGATGTTGAACAGATTTCAGTGGACTTCCAGACTAAGATAGATTAGGGAGAAAGGCCTGACTATCTACTTCTGAATATCAGCCAATGAAAATCCTACAGGTGCTAAGTCCATTCAATGGGGAAAGAAGAGTCTCTTCAATAAGTGGTGCTGGGAAAATTGGATTTCCACATGCAGAAAAGTGAAACAGGATCTGTGCCTCACACTATACACAAAAATAAATTCAAAATGGATTAAGGACCTAAATGTGCAAAGTAAAACCATAAAACTATAAAAAGCTGGCAGGCCTAGCTTTCAGCAGTGCATTATATTAGATATACTATAATAACAAAAGCACAAACAGCAAACGACAATAAATAAATGGGACTGCATAAAAATTAAAAACTTTTGCTCATCAAAAGACTTTACCAAAAAAGTGAAAAGTTATGCTACCAACTGGGAGAATATCTTTGGAAACCACATATCTGACAAGAATCTAATAACCAAAATGTATATAAAACTTTGACAACTTAACAGCAAAAAGACATATAACCTAATCATAAAACGGGCAAAGGACTTGAATAGACATTTCACCAAGGAGGACACTCCAATGGCCACCAGACACATGAAAAAGATGCTCAGCATCATTAGTTATTAGAAGGATGCAAATCAAAACCACAATGACATACCATTTTATTCCCAATAGGATGATAAAATAATAACGATTCAAAAAAGAAAATAACAAATGTTGTTGAGGATGGGGAAACTGGAATCTTATCCACTGCTGGTAGGAATACAAAATGGTACAGTGGTTGTGCAAAACAGTGTGGCGGTTCCTCAAAAAACTAAAAATAGAGCTACCGTATGACCCAGCAATTCCACTCCTAGGTATAAACCCAAAAGACTTGAAAGCAGAGACTCAACAAGATAAGTGCACACGAATGCTCACTGCAGCACTATTCACAATACTCAAAAGGTGGAAACAACCTAAGCGTCCATCAGCAGATGAATGGAAAAACAAAACGGGGTACATACACACAATGGAATACTACTCAGCCAGTAGCAAAAATGAAGTCTTGATACATGTGACAGTATGGATGAAGCCTGAAGACATTACGCTGAGGGAAATAATTCAATCACAACAGGACAAATATTGTATGACCTCGCTTTTTATATAAAAAGACAAGGAAAGGCAAATATATACAGACCAAAATTTATTAATGGTTACCAGGGCAGGAGGGAGGAGGAAAAGGAGGGTTAACAGTGATGGAAAAGTCGCATTGATTAAGGGTAGGGTTGCACAGCTGATTACTGTAATTGCTGTCAGTAAGTTGTACACCTGTAAAAAGTTGTGTGATAGGTATATTTCAACAGTGACAAAAAAAAAAAAAAGACTAGCTGCTGGCTGCTTATGTACATCCAAACACCTCATGGGATTTGGTTCCTTGGCTTGGAGGTTTAGGGCCATGGATTCATGGGACATCCCATTTAACTGGCCTAATAACGTGGTTAGTGCTTCTTTTCTATCTCCTAGCTTGTTGTATAGTACCTGCGGTCTTAAAAGCTTGCAAGTGGCCATCCAAGGCACAACAGTTGGTCTCTATTCACTTGGAGCAAGAGAGGAAGAGAGGCAGGAATAGAAGGAGGATATGGAATGTCTGGCTAATTGCCTCCATGAACAACTGCATCCTTTGCCATGAGACCAGAAGAACTGGATGGTGCCCGGGCACCATTACTGAACATTTTGATCAAAGACTCCATAGAAGAATCCTGATCAAAATTGGGGAAATGTAGAAAAAAATTTCAAATTCTCATGAACTCTAGACTTTCTGGAGCCATGGAGGGTAGAAGAACCCCTGAAACTACTGTCCTGAGATGATCTTCAAACCTTAAACCAAAAATACCCCCTGAAGTCCTCTTAAAACCTAACAGTAGTTTAGCTTAACTAGTAAAAAAGGTCTGCCTTGAGCATTACACTCTTTTAAGAACTATCTATACTGAATTGTACATGTAGAAACTTTCAAAATAGTGTAACTTTGGCTATGTTTATTTTCACCAGAAAAGGTCCTCAAGGTCGAGAAGGGAGAGCGTTGACATGTCGTGGGGTTCTTAACCAATGTCATAAAACAATATGTGTACTGACTGTTTAATGAGAAACTATTTGTTCTTTAAACCTTCATCTAAAGTACAATAAAAAAAAATTAAAAAAAACTATACGAGATCAAACTAACAACAGCAACTCGCAAGATTAGATAGGAACCGTACAGGGCAGGGAGTTTGTGTTAACGAGGGAGGAACAACTCAGAAAAGGAGGGTAAGAATGGTTGCACATCCCAAAGAATGTAATCAATGTCACTAAATTGTACATGCAGAAACTGTTGAACTGGTGTATGTTTTGCTGTGTATATTTTCAACAACGATAAATGTAATAAAATTTAGAAAAAAAAATCCCATGCATTGCAATGATCCAATCCACAACCGATCATGGGGATGGCACAGGACTGGGCAGTGCTTCATTCCATTGCGCATGGGGTCACCATGAGCCAGGGGCCGACTCAACAGCAGCTAACCACAATAACAACCCTTGAAAACTGATGCTGAAGATACTTCTTCCAGTTTTCTGGACCGGAGCTATAATGGAAATTAGCAGACCTGCCAACGATTGGTTGAGTTGAGCAAGTTATTTCCATTTCTGGACTTCAGATTCTCCAACTACTAAGTGATAGGTTTGGTCTGGATGATTTCTAAGGGCCTTTCCAATCCTAATATGATATTATTCTAGAATGTTCAAGGAGTCTAGAATGTTCACCAAAGCTAAACGTTCATATTAAGAAAATAACTCCACCTAATAACTATGAGGAGTCCCTGGGTGGTGCAACTGGTTAATGTGCTCAGCTGCTAACTGAAGGTTGGTGGTTTGAGTTCACCTAGAGGGGCCTCAGAAGAAAGGCATAGTGATCTACTTCCGAAAAATTAGCCATTGAAAACACTAGGGAACACAGTTCTACTCTGACACATACGGGCTTGCCATAAGGTGGAGTTGACTCGATGGTAACTAGTTTATGTTTTTAACATTTATGAAATCTTCAGAGTTTGTGTATGTGTCCTTGACTGTTACACCTTCTATTCAAGTAAAATGCAAAATTTTATGCAATATCCACAGACATCCCTAAAACTGCCTTTGTATGTCACACTGCAGTTTTGTACATCAGTTGTCAAGGGAACATTTCAGGTTAGCTTAGACAGTACAGTCAGCTGTCTGTGGGGTAAATTTTTGCAATCGTGATTATTAGATGGTATTTTCTCTAAATTTTAATTGTTCAGAAAACTGGAAAGTGACAGTGCTAATGACAAGAAGCATGAGTCTCATAAATTTAATATAAATGAAAAAAGAAACACTTTCACACACGCTAGGCTGAGTGCCTCACCTGCTTTACCTCATTTAATCTAGCCAGTGGTACCATGAGCTAAGTAATTTCTACTATCCCTATGAAGCAGCTAGGTCTTGGAGAGAAGTGACTTGCCCAAGGAGAAACAGGTGGCCCAAATAAGACCTAAACCCAGTCTGTCTGATTCCATAGCCCTCACTTGGGCCTATGTGCTGGATTCCTTTCCTGGGGGGTTATTATTATTTTATGAATGCACGTGTACATGCAGGTCCCACAGCTCCAGCCCACATGGTTCCTGCGTGCGAATAGGAGAGGTCCTCCCCGTGTTCCGGGGCAGATACCACCCTACAGACATCAGCCTGGTAACAAGTCAAGGTCTTCGTGCAAATTAGAAAATAGCTGCCCACGCTTCGCATGAGCCTGTCTCACGCCAGGACGTACAGTGTGGTGAACAGAGAATGGGTTTTCAGGCTCACTTCTTTCTCATCCATATGCCCTTATGCCTGAAACTCATTAGTAATCTCACAGTATGCATGTATATGTTTATGTGAACATGTGTGCGTGTGTGTGTGTGAGAGAGAGGGAGAGAAAGAAAGACACATACAGAGATAGATGGACAGAGAGAGATTTCTTAGAGCAGACTTTGAATACCTAGATCCAGCATTGCCTGAAGCCCACCTTCCCCTCAATTTTCCAGTAACACAAATTCAAACATTTTATGTGTTCCCTAAGCCAGTTTGAGTTGAGTTTCTAATACTTGCATCTGAAGGAGCTGAGACGGATACCCAATGAATATATGGAGACTGAGCAGGAAACAGCCAGTTGGCTCCTAGAGAGCCCAGAAAAGAGTGAGACAGGACAGTGGTCCCACACATACTAAAAGGAAGACCACGTCTGGGGTGGCAGGCCTCTTGCAAAGAGCTTCAACCAGTAAAGACTTTATTTAAAACAAACGAAAACAGCACAGGCAGGATGAAGCATATCTGTAAATAATGATGAGGTCTTGCTATGAGAACAGGATGGCCTAGGCAGATGACAGAGCAGAACAAGAATAGCTGGGACAAACAGAAGAGAACTAATATAACTCGGACAAGGCACGGGGGCATCTAGGCAGGGCCAGAGCAGAGACAACTATTGTCACCGGTGCTTCTGGAGTGAGGAGCAATTTAGAGAACTAAATATCAGAATGGCATCATTTGCTGTTGATGGTTTGTGGTAAAGAAGGATGCTTGGGTTAACTTCCAGGACCCTGATAATGTTATCTCTCAGGCTGTGGGTTCCTGCAACGTCCAGTGATCTCTCGGCTGGGGTAAGGTCTCATGTTAGAGAACTGTTACCTGGACTGTATCGACCGCTCTGTGGGCTGGGGCCTGAATCTCATCATTGTCCCCTCTTAGGGAGACCATATGGGTGCACCTGGTAAGACACACTCCTTGAAGAACATGGCAGATTCCAGAAGCCCGAGTTTGGTTTAGAGTTTGGACTTGACTTTCCTGGAGGTAGAGTAGGGTCTGCATGGGAAAAGGGCAATCCAGATCCTATCATCTCCTGGCAGACAGTGATTGCATCTGTACTCTCTTAAACATCAGAGCAATCTGTCTTAAATATTTAAACACTTGGAAAGTATCTTTTGGATTAGCCTCAAAATGCTAATTTTTCTTGAAAATACCTCAATCAACAGTAACACTCTGCACAGCTTCCTCAAGAACTCTCTAAACCCCAATCAGTCCCCATGTTCTTCAAGGACTGCTTCTTACCAGGTGCACCCAATGTGGTCCTCCCCAAGGGAGGGGCAGTGATGAGACTAAGGGTTCCCAGGAGAGGCTCCTGGACGTCGGGATCCCTTTCTTATGCGCTTGGAGCCTGAGTGTGGTCTGGCCCTTCTCTCAAGTCCACCTATCACATGAATCTGTCATGTTGCAAACTTCAGCAGAAACCCACAGAACTACAAGAGAGCGAGTCTCTCCTTGCCATAACAAGATCGTCCAGGCTCCTCCAACCACAGACAGACACAGCCACCCTCTTGAGTAGATAGTGATTTGGAAATTTAGATAAACAACATCATCTGCCTCAAAACGGTACAAGTATGCTGAGGATGCCCATACATAAAGGATGCAGTCACATACAATTCATCCTGCTTTTTTCCCTGATGGCAACTGACTTTATCAGCCCCATCACTAGTCCTGAACAAAATCAGTAAACACATGCGATGAGTCACTGCCATGCAAGGGTTCCTCTAAAGGGCATGGACAACATCCAAAGAAGCCAGCAAGGCATCTACCCAGCAGTGCAAGGCAGTCAGCAAGGCTGGGGTTGAAGTAGGTACCCACCATGAAGCCCTTCTGCAAGCAGAGGGTCTGGAGAAACCAGACATGCCTGCTGACCCCTCTGACAGTAGTCAACAGCCCCAGACCTTCTCCCACCACTCGCCTCTTCTGGTGGACACTGTTCCTCTCGTCACTCGTAGGACAGCCGGGGAGGCTGTGCTGCTAGACTGTTTCTGAGAGGCAGGCTGCACATCTCATGAATCCCTATTCCCAGGGGCATGTTGTGGGCTCCCAGCTGAGCTTACATGGAAGGAATTCAACCACATTACTTGGCTGATGTTGAATAGTACCTATTTTGTTCCTGGCACCCCCATTCCAACATTTCTTGACCCTCACCCCACCCGAGGCACACGCAATGGTTTATTACACCCTACTGCTCCTGTCCTCAAAGTAGAACACCCTAGTATTGGCTCATTACCTTGCTTTGTGGTTATTTCTGTATTCATTTTACTGTCTGCATTTTCTATACCTAACACAGGCTTTGGAACTCAGAAATTGCTCAGTAAATAATATAATTAAGTTTTAATGCTGTGTGCTGTATTCTACTACTAGGAATCACTTTTTTGTTTGTGTTAACAATAACATTTGGGGCATCTATTCTCTGCCAGTCACTGTGTAGGTGCTTTATACTTGCTCTTTAATCTTTGTAGTTAGGAGTATTATCCCATTTTAAAGATGGGGACACTGAGGTTCAGACCATGGGCATAGGAAGGGGAAGGCCTGGGATTCAAACAGGGCACCGACTGGCATGAAGAACACGTTCTTTTCCTAGATGGCAGAAATCACATCTAGACAGGTGCTCTAAATCTCTAAACCCGTCCGTATCAGAGGCAATGACTGCACTTAGGATAAATGCAAAAACCCTAATGGGGTCTCAAGCACTGTTGGCTCTGTCCCCTGCCCATCTGTACCACTGTCACTCCCAGCCCATTATATTCTAGTGCCACTGTTCTTCTTCCAGTTAACTGTGACAGCTGGCTCTCTCCTGCCACAGGACCTTCATATATGCTTGTCCCTGAGCCAAAAACACTCCTCTCCCAACTACTTTATTCCATATTCTTCCTTCTTCTGATTTCAGTTTTAGGGTCATTTCCCCAGAGAGGGCCTCTGACTCCCCAAATTAAATTACTACCCATTATAATCCCTCATTATTTCCTGTATTTTCCCTGTCTAGTGCTTATCACAAGTTATAACTGTCTACTAATTCATGAGGTCCTTTAATGTATATCTGTTCTCCCCAGCGAAGTTTGGGAGCAAGGCCCATCTCTGTCGTGTTTACAATCATGTGCCAGCCCAGGGTCTGAGGCATCCTGGGAATCAATATCTACCTATTGAGTGGATGAACGAAGAGATGACTGACTGGACAAGCTGCTTCATCTCCTCACTCCTGACCATGTGAATCCAAATCCCAGTGCCCAGGTCATGCAAGCAGGCCTGAATCATTGATGACCTATTGTTGGCTTAGGCAATCTAGAACTGAGACCCAAGGTCCTTCTGGTTCTTTAGTATATATTAAAGGTGAATTGTTGGTTTAGACAGTCTAGAACGCAGACAAAGTCCTATCTGGTTCTTTGGTTCAGGTTCAAGGTGGATTCCAGTCTACTGTGGAAAGAAAGAAAATGTTTTGTTTCTTACCTGCACATGATCTTTGTATAAAGATGCATATAGCTCCTGTCCTTTCCTTCTGTAGTTCTCTATACACGGCACAAAATCCTGGAAAAAAGAGAAAACAAGTCACAGCTTAATTAATAGTGTGATTCTAGATAAGAAGTTCTCTACTTTTATAAATTTCCAGGAGTAACAACAGTTACAGAATTTGTCAGTCAAATCAATGACAACCAAATAACTAAAGACTTCAGCTATAATAATGCACTCACATATGCACACACTCACATACATGTTTATAGACTACTTCCATTTCCAGCTATGATAAGCTAGCTTGTAACAGATCAACATTCCTGCCAAGAATAACTAGAAGATTTAGATGTGAGTAACCTGCTTTAGGTCGACAGTTCAAATTCATCAGCTGCTCCTTGGAAACACCATGGGGCAACTCTACTCCTTAAGAAAGCTGAGAACTACTGAGACAAATAAAACTTGAGGAGCCAAGATTCTGGAGAGAAAGGACATGTTCTGAGGTGTGCCAAATGTTTTATGCCTTTTTACCCTTGAAATATTTCCAAATTTGAAAATAGCACAGCAGGCTGAGAAGCTGGGTGGAAAGTGGTGGCTAAGAGGCAGAGAAGTTTAACAGAGCTTTGGGCAGTCTCAGATGGCTGAGGAGATAAAAATCGAAGTTCAGAATTACCAAAGCATCCAGGGCATAAGGGGCCAAGATCCCAGGAATAGGTCAATACAAAGAAGTAAGCCCAGCCTTCTGCCTTGACATTCCTCTTTGCTGTTCTGATTCAAAAGCAGTATGAGGCTGAGAATCTATGCCAAGTTTCCAGCAGTCTCAGTTTGTAGAAACCAACAGGAGGAGGGCTTTAAGGTAGAATCTACGAAGACAGGGATAGAGGCAGACTGGGAATAGACCAGGTCTTCCAAAAATGAAATCCAGTCTCCAATTAGCTCCACCCATGATGGCGACAAGGTGATCTACTGCTACTCTAACTACACATCAGAAGACAAAGTCCTCGCTGGAGAAAGATAACATCATTTGTAGCCTCTAGTCTAGAATTTTCATACAGAATGTTCAGCAGTCAAACAGAAATTACTAGATGTTGCCAATTTGAAAAAAGGACCAACAGAAAAATAGACAATAAAAACATATTCATTTGTATCCAGATATTAGAGCTACTAGACATGAATCTTAAAATAATGGAAGTAATAGATGCCAAAAAAATACAACATGGAAAATTTCTCCAGAGACCTGGAATCTATAAAAAATAATCAAATAAAAATTTTAAATCTGAAAAATGTATTTATTGAAATTAAAAATTTCACAGATGAGTTTCACAGCAGATTAGGCACAACAGAACAGAAGATGAGTGAACCTGAAGAAATATCCTTGCTAAAGTATGATGAGATAAAAGTATGAAAAATAATAAAAAAGAGAGAGAGATGGGATATGGAGAAAAGGAGAGGATAGAAAGAGGCAGAAGGAATATATGAACAGGTAATGGTTGAGAATTTTCCCAAATAAATGAAAGACATCAAGTCATGGATTTAAGAAGCCGTACAAACCCCAAATAGAAAGCCACAAATGACCTCATCATAGAAAAACTGCAAAAACAAAAGACAAAAAGATCTTCAAAAAGACAGAAAAAGGCAGATTACTTGAAAGATGACAGCTGATCTCTCAAGAAACAGTAGAAGCCAGAAGACAATGAAACATCTTCCAAGTGCTGAAAGAAAATGACTGCCGACGTCAGATTCTCTACCCAGTGAAAACATCCTTCAAAAATAAAGACAAAATTAAGCATTGTCAAGTCAATAACACTGAGAGAATGGACCACCAACAGAACTTCACTAAACAAAACAGTGGGTGCTTTACAGGTACAGTGAAAATGATTCTATATTTGGAATAAATAAAAAGCTATGGAAAGTGTAAATAGTGAAGAAATCTAAATGAAAAAAAAAAAAAAGTTGCCCTCAAATCGATTCTGACTCACAGCAACCCTATAGGACAGAGTAGAACTGCCCCATACGGTTTCCAAGGAGTGCCTGGTAGATTCAAACTGCCGACCTTTCGGTTAGCAGCCATAGCTCTTAACCACTGGACCACCATACTGACCGTTAAAAAACAACAACAACAATAACAACAACATCTTATGGGGTTTCAAATGTATGAAAAATTAAAATAAATGAAAAAATAACAAAATGTGGAAAGGGTAAATGAAATAAAGTATTCTAAGTTTCTTTAATTGCAATTTGGTAAAGGAGCTAAAGGAGCTAATTTACATTGCTGTTGTTAGGTGCCGATGAGTTGGTTCTGACTCATAGTGACCCTGTGTACAACAGAACCAAATACAGCCTGGTCCTACACCATCGTCACAATGATTGTGATGCTTTAGCCTACTGTTGCAATCACTGTGTCAATGCATCTCCTTGAAGGACTTCCTCTTTTTTGATGACCTTCTACTTTACCAAGCCATGATGTCCTTCTCCAGGAACTGGTCCCTCCTGCTAACACGTCCAAAGTATGTGAGACGAAGCCTCACCATCCTTGCTTCTAATGAGCATTCTGGCTGTACTTCATCCAAGACATATTTGTTTTTTCTGGCAGTCCATGGTATATTCAGTATTCTTCGCCAACACCATAATTTAAAGGCATCAATTCTTCTTTGGTCTTCCTTATTCATTGTCCAGCTTTCACGTGCATGTAAGCCAATTGAAAACACCATGGCTTTGGTCAGGCGCACCTTAATCCTTAAAGTTACATATTGTTTTTTAACACTTTAAGAGGTCTTTTGCAAAAGATTTGCCCAATGCAATGTGTCATTTTTTATCTTGACTGCTGATTCCATGGGCATTGATTATGGATCCAAGTAAAATGAAATCCTTGACAACTTCAATCTCTTCTCCATTTATCATGATGTTGCTTATTGTTCCACGTCTTAGTCATCTAGCGCAGCTACAACAGAAATACCACAACTGCATGGCTTTAACAAACAGAAGTTTATTCTCTCACAGTCTAGTAGGCTAGAAGTCTAAATTCAGGGTGTCAGCTCCAGGGGAATGCTTTCTCTGTCAGCTCTGGAGGAAGGTCCTTGTTGTCAACCTTCCCCTGGACTAGGAGCTTCTCTGCACAAGAACCCTGGGTCCAAAGGATGCACTCTGCTCCCAGCACTGCTTTCTTGGTGGTATGAGGTCCCCAACTCTCTGCTTGCTTCCCTTTCATCTTTTGTAAGATAAAGGGTTGTGCAGGCCACACCCCAGGGAACTCCCTTTATATTGGATTGGGGATGTGACCTGAGCAAAGGTGTTACATCTCACCCTAATCCTCTTTAACCACAGGCAGAGATTGTGATTTATAACACATAGGAAAATCACAAAATGGAGGACAACCACACAATACTGGGAATCATGGCCTAACCAAATTGACACATATTTTGGGGGGACAATTCAATCCATGACAGTTCAATCGTGAGGATTTTTGTTTTCTTTATGTTGAGATGTAATCCACACTGAAGGCTGTGGTCTTTGATCTTCATCAGTAAGTGGTTCAAGTCCTCTTCACTTTCTGCAAGAAAGATTGTGTCATCTGCAGATCACAGGTTGTTAATGAGTCTTCCTCCAATCCTCATGCTGCATTCTTCTTCATATAGTCCAGCTTCTTGGATTATTTGCTCAGCATACAGACTGAATAAGTATGGTCAGGATACAACCCTGAGGCGCACCTTTCCTGACTTTAAACCACGAAGTATCCCCTTGTTCTATTCGAACAACTCCCTCTTGGTCTAAGTGTAGGTTCCTCATGAGCACAATTAAGTGTTCTGAAATTCCTATTCTTTGCAATATTTTCCATAATTTGTTATGATCCAAACAGTCGAATGCCTTTGCATAGTCAATAAAACACAGGTAAACAACTTTCTGGTATTCTGTTTTCAGCCAGGATCCATCTGACATCAGCAATGATATCCCTTGTTCCACGTCCTCTTCTGAATCTAGCTTGAATTTCTGGCAGTTCTCTGTCAATGTACTCCTGCAACCGCTTTTGAAAGATCTTCAGCAAAATTTTACTTTCGTGTGACATTAATGATATTGTTCAATAATTTTCACATTTGGTGTTGGATCCCCTTTGGAATAGGTACAAATATGGATCTCTTCCAGTCAGTTGGCCAGATAGCTGCCTTCTAAATTTCTTGGCATAGACAAGTGAGCACGTTCAGCACTGCATCCATTTGTTGAAACATCTCAACTGGTATTCTGTCAATTCCTGGAGCCTTGTTTTTACCCAATGCTTTCAGTGCAGCTTATACGTCCTCCTTCAGTACCATCGGTTCTTGATCATATGTTACCTCCTGAAATGGCTGAATGTCGACTAATTCTTTTTGGTACAGTGAGTGTGCATTCCTTCCATCTTCTTTTGATGCTTCCTGTGTCATTTAGTATTTTCCCCATAGAATCCTTCAATATTGCAATTCAAACCTTGAATTTTTAATCCAGTTCTTTCAGCTTGAGAAATGCTGAGAGTGTTCTTCTCTTTTCGTTTTCTAACTCCAGATCTTTGCACATTTCATTCTAATACTTTGTCTTCTCGAGCTGTCCTCTGAAATCTGTTCAGCTCATTTACTTCATCATTTCTACCTTTCGCTTTAGCTACTCTACTTTGAAGAGCAACTTTCAGAGTCTCTTCTGACATCCATTTTGGTCTTTTCTTTCCTTCCTGTCTTTGTAATGACCTCTTGCTTTCTTCATGTAGGTGATGCCATTTCACAACTAGTCTGGTCTTTGGTCATTAGGGTTCAATGCATCAAATCTATTCTTGAGATCCTCTCTAAGTTCAGGTGGGATACACTCAAGGTCATGCTTTGGCTCTTGTGGATTTGTTCCAATTTTCTTCAACTTCAACTTGAACTTGCATATGAGCACCTGCTGGTCTGTTCCACATTTGGCCCCTGGCCTTGTTTTGACTGATGATATTGAGCTTTTCCATCATCTCCTTCCACAGATGTAGTTGATTTGATTCCTGTGTTTCCAAACTGGCAAGGTCCATGTGTATAGTCACCATTTATGTTGTTGAAAAAAGGTATTTGCAATGAAGAAGT